TACATCGAGCTAGCAAGTCGTGTTATTTGGCTGGCAATTTTGCCAATTATTTTGTCGCGGATGCGCTGCAAAGACCAGGAGGCCGGTGAACAATTTTGACGCATGGAATGTGGACATTTTTCTCCGTGGAAACGTCTTCTAAAGTTTCTCGTGTGCTTTTGCTGCAGTCCACGGCATCGCCCCTGCTGCGAATGCAACACGCAGGATGGTTCCGTTTACGGCAATTAAACGCACCGGATGTGCAGAGATACGACCGGGACCTTTAGGTGAGGACTGAAATTACTGACACTTCTCAGTTACATTCCCCTCAAAGACCAAGTAAGTGAATTTTGTCATCGTGGATTGACGTGCAGTTATCCGTCTTCCTAGAGTTCTGATCTCAGATGCCTGGACGGGGTTTGGGGTATGGCTGACTGGTAAGGACTGTCATTTCAGTCTGTCTTGAATTTTCAGATAAAATTTTTTATCGTAATGTAACAAAAGAGAGGCAGTAATCCATGCCTTGTTACTATCCCCCTCCCCGGTGGGTGATTTAATTAAAGCAAAAATGGCAGCGGTTCTTGTGTGTTGCAAAAATGTGTTTGCATTTTGGGAGATTTGGTACCTCGGACACGCATTCGGAAGTCCACGTACCTAAAACGAAGTTGATCCATCCTATAACGTCTCCCAGGTAGGTATTGATGCTGAACCGAAAGGGTTGCGATGTAGCCATGGTAAAATCATTGCCTGTGTGAGGTGAGCATGTAAGGCGCACCTGGAAGACGAGCTCACACGCAACTTGTTTATATTGGTTGACTATTGCCAGTAGTCATTGCTTTTTATGCTTTTTGGAGTTTACTTATAACCGAACGTACGATACACGATACTCACCGGTCTATTCTGTGAGTAAACAGTTGCGGATTTAATGCAGCACAAGGGAGGCGCCTAATCGAACTTGTTATAGGATGGAACCTACTCCTCCCCCCCCCCTTTTTGCCTTCGGACTCCAAGTTGGAGTTCGCGCAGAAGCAGGCAGGCGCTACTGAGGAATGAACAACAACAACAACAACAAAGACGAGCGAGGACAGCTAGGGCCCTAGTTGGAAGTTTCTAGGTAATAGGGACCGACGACGTTCATCGCTGAAACTGGCCGCTGAGTGGGCAAAACCACTCTCTATGCTTTTCCATGCATACTATGAGGCCGGATGTCCGCCAGTCGAGTGGAAATCTGCGTGGATTACACCGTTGTATAAGGGCGGAAGTCGGGTCTCCGCAATCAATTGCAGGCCAGTCAGCCCCACTTTCATTCGGTGCAAAATTATGGAAAAAATAATTAGATGATAATTAGTGTAGTTTGTCAGACAAAACCATCTGCTTCCCGATTTCCAGCATGGAAGACAGGTGAAGACAGGTCCTGCGTAGCAACCTTGCTCTACTGCCTAGAACACTAGACTCCTGCAGTTGGCAGAGGGAATACGGTGCATACAGCCTATATGGACTTCAAGAAGGCCTTCGATAGTGTGCCTCACCATTACCTTCTGTACAAACCCAGTCATATAGGAGTAAGGGGTAAGCTTCTGACGTGGATTCAGACTGCCCCTGTCAGTGACCAGCAGTCCGCAGAGGTTGCCGTTGAGAGTGGTGTTCACTTTGTTATTGGCCCTATTCCGCTCATTATATACGCAATCGGCTGCGTAAATGAACTGGATTCTGAGGTTGCGATTTTTGCCAACGATACCATGATCTGAAGTATCATCCGAAAAAAAGTTGAAGAAGAGTATTTGCAGACAAACCTAAACCGACTGGAGCACTGGTCTAATGACTGGACTTTGCCGTCTAACGTGAGTAAGTATAACTTTCTAGGAGTCGGCGGTACCAGATCTCCGAAACGTATGCCTACCGCCTGACTGGCATACAACTTCGGGAAGTGGACGCACAGAAGGACTTGGGTATGTGGATCACAACTTCACTCAAGCCCTCGGCGCACACCTCAAAGGTAGCCAAGTCCACGGTGTCTATCCTACACCTCGTCAAATGGCCGTCCACTTCCTTCGATGAACACTGTCAACATGCTACTAACATGAATTCAACAGATCCTTTGGTGTGCACCAAACTTGACCCATATGAAAATATTCACAGTGTGGATGCAGTGACCGATTTTTTCGTAGTTATTTCGCAAATGCCATATCTTTTCCGCATTTATGTTTCACTATTAGATTTATGCATTCTGCACACCAAAACTGCATGCGAAAGTTTTGGAATTCAATTATTTTCCTTCACACCTCTACCGTCTAAATGGAATTTTCAGAACTTCTGTCATTTATTCCAAATATACTGACTGACAAAACTGCTTCGCCAAGGTCTTTCGAAATTTGTGTTGCCGTATCTGGAGTTTGTCATCCAAGCATGAAGACCCCAGACCTCTAAAGACCTCAGCGTGCTCGAAAAAGTTCAACGGCGGGTAACCAAACTTGTAACTGAACGGGCTCACTAACCTACGAAGCGCGATTAGCTGATCTCGAGTTCTTCACAGTTGGGTCAATATGAATTTGTCAAAATCTGTCAAAACATTAATGAATAGACTCGATCTTTTTCCCCATGAGTTACAGTCAGCTACGGGGCGACCTCATGCAAACTTTTCGCATCCTGCGCGGTCAGGACTGCTGTCTCGTACCTGGAGAATTCCTCGACTTAGCAAATACGACTAGCACGCACGGTCAGAATACGTGTGACTAGTGCCAGGATAGACACACGGGAGTTCCTCTCCAACAGAATTGTTGAAGATTAGAATACTTTGTCTGAGGACGTTATGTTTGCATTCGTAGAAGCTTTTAAAAGGAAGCTGGGTCAACATTGAGTGCGCAACACAATGCCATTCGACGGCTGTCGTCTTCAAACTTTACGTTAACAACTTATTGATATGTTGCTACTGTTTATTATTAAGTAACACTTGTTTCCACATTTTATTAATGCACGAGCCTCGGCACATATTACTGATGACGTTTGCAGAACGCAGATCATATTGCTTTTCCCGTAGTTTAGGTGAGCTTGAAGTAACTACAGCAAAAATCAGACTTCCCATTCATGATAATCCGACTTCTGAGGGTAAAGGGATGCAGAAATGTGACGTATAGCGTCAGTGAACTCCAGAGTAAGACTAGCCGTCTTCGAGCCCAAAGAACAGTAGATTATGCCACTCAACGGTCAGTTCCACCGTCGATGTCAGCGGAGCAGACGTTGGGCTTAACGGACTACAGCCCACCTTCTTCGGTATCTTGGTGACAGTCATCCTTTAAGGAAAAATACCTAAGGGAAGCAATCCCGGCGTTTTTTCTGATAAATGCGTTCGGCAGACGTGTTCGCAGATTTTGCCAAACCACAACTTCGCCAAAACGTAAGGGAGCGACCATTGCGACTTTTCGCACGGTCACCGATTTTTCCGGATGATCCGCAAAAGTAGACTCATCTTAGTGAATAGACTTACAAAGGGCAGCAAAATTGCGGAGGACACCTCGTGAAATGAATGTATCTTCGGCTTTGTAAAACTGACGCAATAGAAGTAATGGCTCTTAGCAAAAACCGTGACTGTTCTCTGCCAAACGTGATGCTGGCAGTCGTCGGAACACGCTGCGAGAGAAAAACAGGCAGTGCCCTGCGAGAGTTAAAACAGTTCTTTCAAAGAACTGGAACAAGAGCTCTATTAGCCTGACGTTTCGGCATCTCACTCGAATCCATCACCAGACACAGACCCTTATCTGACTCTGTCTCTGATGATGGATTTGAGTGAGGATCCAAAACGTCAGGCTTGTAGAGCTCTTGTTCCAGTGATCGTGTCTCCTTCTTCGCAACCACTTCCTGGAACTCGCCTCTTCGCTTCTACTAACAAAACAGCTCTTAGTCAAGAACCAAGCACTCAGAGCATACGTCGGAACTGGTCAATGACCGCAACTACTCCTAACTTCTCAACTTCTGTTCGAGTGTGCATTTTTGTCGCAGCTCCAAGGCAGCTAAAACTACGCAATGTTAAGGTCCAGCAGGCGAAAATCCTGCGACTGAAGACTTCTGTGTAATGCTCCGACTTTAGGCAAAAAATCGACGCACGGGCGCCAGATCTATGGGTTGCAATGGTCCGCAAAACTGCAGGAGAACGACAACAAAACCCGCGAAGGGCACTTGAGACTGCTAAAATTAACTAAAAAATATGTATGACCAGGCATCAAAATAAGTTCTTAAGTGGCGTGCAAGGTATATGACTATATTTCTTCTGTATGGCGAGCATTACCCGGGGTCCTCATAAAAGTAAAATTAACCTCTTCGAACCGCGGTGAATAAAACTAAGGTATAGTGTTGTTGGTGACCGACACGTAGAGAGGATAGAGACTGAAATCACTAGACAATTTTTAAGGAATAATCTAAGCGGTAATTTAAGGCTTTAAGGGCGCCGATTTCTCGGCAGTTCGGAGTCGGTCACATCAACTACATGACTGGCATTTTTGTAAGTCCCTTCGTAGAAATCCCGAGAAGCTGTGAATTGGTCTCAACGGTCAACCCCGTAAGCTGAATTCTTCAACTACTATAAGGTTTGCCGAGCTGGGCTAGTCAGCAGACTCGAAAGGCAGCACCACTATGCCCGGCGGTATCATACTACACGTTTTCAGTAGTAGTGTGCGACATGAATTCTCCAAAAACAATATATAAACCACGAGAGAGAGGGGGAGGGGGGCATTTGATGCCTAGTATTTCAAACTCTGACGGAATTTGACGCTGTAGTGACAATAACCTTACAAGTAATGGCGGAATTCTATTGCTTTAGGCGAAAAAAAGATGGTCCGACCGGCGAGACGTGGCAGCGAAAATTGCGAACGCTTTAAATACCAGATACCCGAAAACAGAACGGAAAGGTGGTCAGAAAAGTAGAAAAGTCTACTGCACTTTGTGCAACAGCGCGACGCAGTCTATAAAAGAAATGAGAGTAGGTTCTTGTATCACATTATTTACAAGATCAACAGCCAAACAGGATGTCACGTGAAATGACGGGTGGGGGTCCGTTCCACGTCACTCGTTCGGTGGTAGTTGTGATGCTGGACGCGTGGGTAGTAGCGACGTTGATTCACCGCCGTCCTGCCGGCGCCCTGTGAGTGTTGGGGGCCCAGGTAGGGTGGCTGCATGAGTTGGCGCAATTGCGGCGCAGATTGTGGCCTCGAAAAGGCGGCGCGCGGCACCGGCTGTAGGTAGACAAATGTGTGTGTGTGGGGGGGGGGGCGGTTAGAGGGGAAAGGAGGCGACGGCAAAATAGCGTATGAGGGGACTTTGGAGTGTCATAAAACCCAATAGGGGGGGTGTCAAAAACCCCTTGAGATGCAGGTAGCGATTGTCATCGCCCAGCTCTAATTAAGTCTATAATGCCAATAGAAGCGAAGAGACGAGTCCCAGGAAGCAGTCTTGAAGAAGAAGACACGATCGCCGGGGGCTGCTTGAGTCATGGTTTACTGGCCCCCAGTATATTAACAAGTGCAATTATCTTCCCGTTTAATACACTTTGCTGAGACTTCGTCTAGGCGGAGTAATTGGCCACGCGGGGGAGCGCACAGGTAAACACTCTTCCCAACACCGGGTCAGCGCGTCAGATAGTCGAGCCATCATCACACCAACATCCAACGCACGTGATGTAATTGCAGCAATTAACGACGCGAATGTCGGCCATCACGCCACGTGCAACGATCTCTGATGAAGGTGGAGGGGGAGCCGTGAATATTCATAGGTATGCGGTATCATGGCTACTGCATCTTATAAATACTGCAGCCGCATATGCATGAACCACCCTTATCTGCTTTTGTCTCTGAAGATGGATTCGAACAGGAATCCGAAACGTCAGGCTAATAAAGCTCTTGTCCCGGCTATCGGGTCTTCTTCTTTAAGTCTATAATGTTACTTCTTTGCTTCATCTTACGTCCCAGACAATGCTGGTCAATAACGCCGGACTACAGCCACCTTGATAGCCAACGTTGACAATTTAGTGTTCTGGCGATACTAATACCAACATTCAAGTAGCATATGTCTGTGTAATATATTAATGTTGGACCAGATCGCACACCGCCGCTCGCATTCACCACGATGCCTGCAGACTAGAATTTTTTTACTTCTTTTCCTGTAGCTTAGGTGTGCTTCAACTGTTTGCTGCATTTAATCAACAAACCGAGCTCATGTGCCTTTAGATGCTGTTAACGCATGACATTCTGTGTTCATCTGTTATTCCCCTTGTATTTCTTTCACGTTACTTCCTTTCCATTTCTCCATATTCTTTCTCTGCATGTAGCTAATAGGGATTTCAAAGGCACACACGTACTTTCCATGAAATACACTGATACTGACGGTGGAATAGGTGCACAACAAACATAACAACGCTACTCACAAACCTGTCTTACCGTGACTTAGGCGATTACCTAGTAAGAAGATAGAAATCAAACTGATCGAACACGAAGGACTGGCCAGTTTATACTGGAAAACAATCGGCGCCGAATCTAGAGAAGAGTTAAGAAGAGCTTTTATTGTCCAATAAATCCTGCAACACCTGCGTTAACACGTTTCTTATATACATTCAACCAATTTTACCGAAAATATGAATTTGGGGCCTGTGGCGATCTGGGGAAAGTGAGCTCCGCATTAACGACGGCGTTTCCTATCGAAATCACGTGGCCTAGCGGAGGAGGCTAATAATGCGGAGATAAATGGGGGATCTTGAAAACAAAAGATACCAATGGATGAGGGTATTAGGACAACATGCAGGTTGTTGACTGCCGTACCAAGTGTTCAGTAGAGTTCGTGAGTTCATTCGGAGCTGTCCATGCTTAGTTTGCAGATATTGGACAGTTTCAACTGCCATAGACGGGAGATGAACTGACTGCAAAGCATTGACTAACCTTGTGAGGATAGAAATACTGTGCCAAATTACGAGGACAGTTAAGAAATTGGACTATTTGCAATTCCGGTCAAATGACGAGAAGTCGGCACATATAGCCGTGCTCTTTCGCATGCAACACCCGGGTTTTACACAGGTTTGTGTTAAAAACCCTAATGAGTTATTCTGGAAATCTCACGACAACTGCTGATCAAATCCAGATGCCAAAGCAAGCTCAAGGTGCCCCAGACCAGTGGAACTGAGTGGGTTCCTCGTATGTGGTGGGGAACCCTATGAAGAAGGAAAATCACAATACTGCAGACTTTGAGCTTGGCTTGAAACTGCAAGCCGCTAAGCGTGTCTTCTAGGCCATTCGGTAGGCGGCTGGAAAATATTTCACTAATTCTTGGAAATAACAAAAAACGTTGAAAAAAACTAGTTTACGACATTTTTTTAAATTTCCGATCCAAAACTTGGATTCCTAGGACATCAAACGCCAGTGTTAACCTCGTATGATTTGGCCCTAATGTCTGGGTTCCCGGAAGATATATGGGACAAAAGGCGACGAAAATTTGACATGCTTAGCGGCGCTAAGGGTGGTGTCCAAGGCCAAAATATTTGACTTTGAAGGGACAAAAAACGCCCTCAGACGCTTTTGATTTCAGAAGACGAAGATGCGATCACTGGAACAAGAAATTTATTGGCCTGACGTTTCAGCTTCTCACTCGAACCCATCATCAGAGACGGTCGCAGACAAGGGTAGTGGTGGCACAAGGAGTGCAGTATTTATAGTGCGTAGCTGCCGTGGGACCATATGCGTGCTATAATTAACAGCTTCCGCAATCACCGCTGTGGGGCGTAATTGATGCGATAATGGCTTGCCAGTCCACGTCCGAGTCGTTAATGGCCGCGATTTCGTCATCCGCGTTGGATGTTGGCGTGATGATTACTCGACAATCTGGTTCACTGTCCCTGGGATTGTTCTTCGCCTGCGTGGCTGATTACCCGCCCAGAGAAAATGTCTGCGCACAATACGGCAACGGGAGGCCATTGCGCTTATTGATGGAATGCGGGCCTGAGAACGATGACTCAAGCAGCTCGCGGCTCACGCGGTTGTCACACCTTGCAACTCCGATTTCCCCACATGGCAATATGAAAGATCAATAGTTTTCAACCAAGAAAGGAGGCAAAACCAACCTGCTCAACAAACAGCGCCTGGGGCAAATCAATCCGGCCACGTAAGAGAGCGTTTACTCTTCGTAGGAGCTCGGTGTCAACACCAGTCGTAAGGTAGATGACCCCGGTACTAGGGTTAACAGCTCTCACGATGGCTAAAAGTGCGGAAAACAAGTCAAAAGTAGGATCACTGCGACCGGCGTTATGTAAAAGGGCACTTTCTAGTCAGTGAAAGAAATTGAATTGATCTTTATACTGGGGTAGGGGGTCGGCTATAAACCAGTCCAACTAACCTCGATTCTGTCAATTTATTAATGGTTCATGGGAAAATGGCTAGACTAGCGGGCCTTCCCAATTCAGCGCTAAGACCGCTTGAGTCACTACCACGCAGAAAACCGGTGAAGAAATCACGGGGATTACTAACGTGCATGCGGGCAGTCAGGCCATTACCGTGCCCTTAACTGTTGCCGTCCCCGATGATGGGTCTGAAAGAGGATGTGAAACGTCAGACCCATAAAATTCGTGTCCCAACCACAGTCTCCTCTTCAATTGAGTTCCGTGACCGATGCAATGCCGTGTGGAGCTTGCGTCTAACTTATTCTATACAAATGTGTGGCCCACATATGATTGGCTGGCCAAAGGGTACTACGCGCAAGAGAACATGCACAATGGCACCCCTAATCTAGAATTTTGTCCGGGTTCGACAACGCACTTATGCCTGAAAACATCCACATTCTACCCTGCTCTTACAGTACATAGATGCCTGTGTTCGAAAAATCCCTTAGAACAACTTCGCCTCTGAGGTTTTTTTTATCGAAAAGCTGCCAGGCAAAGCGAAAATACAATATCTAAGCCAAAGAAACGACCCCGACATGGCCACAGTACAAACACAGCCATCCCGCTATGCATGGGGCCTTCAAACTAGGACGCTCTTGAGCAGTTGCATTGCGGTAGCGACAGGGTGAAGGAAGACTGGGGTTGCCAGGTGAGGTTTTTCAGCCGTACTGAAGCAACGCGAACTCGAATCAATGAGTACTGGGGCAACCTGTTGTTATGCGACTGCCTACGATGCTCTAGATTGGAGCACCTTCTGTACTGTAACTAGATCGGTAAATGTTCCCTTCATGGTAATTGATATCTCTGATTTAAAACTTACCGGACAATGAGCCCGAGGATAAATGACCTCGTTGGACTTTGAGGTTATCCACGCCTGTGTTTGGCTGGCTGACGACGGCTTACTAAGTTATCACAGGCAGAATGGTATCACCGACAAAGACAGGGGAGACTGGAATGGCTTATTAGCCGTCGTCAGCCAGCCATACCTAAGCCCGAAGTGTGACACATCCGAGCCTCGAACTCGCAATCTGTTGGTTTAGAAGTCCACGCCTCTACCCACCGGGCCATGAGCCCGTCGCCCTGTCGGTTATCGATCGGGAATATACAATGGTAGGCGGTGGTGATACCATTCTGCCTATATATCATGCGCCGCTGTGCGGCTGCTGGTTGGGCTCGAGAGAGAGAGAGCCCTTAAGGCACAACGGAACGAGTGAGTTCCGTATGAACGATCGGTGAGCGCCCCCTACCATTAAGTTATCACAGTCCCCTTTGTCTTTGATGATATTTCTTAGGTCGCAATGGTTAATTTTTGCATTTTCTGCGTCCCAATATTTTACTTTAACAGACAACTGGACTTCCAACTATAGGTGATCTCTTGAAGTTTATTCATATCTGCCGGAGTTGACTTCAAGAGAGTCTTCTGAAAGATCCTCCTGCACTGTATCGTAAGTAATGCACAGCAATACTGCGATGCTCCCTCGAGAGATGAAATGAAAGCAACGACTGCTTCATCAGCCTCCCAAATTTGCTGCAAAGGTCATAATGACGTTCTACCTGGTCTTTAGGTCGCACAGGTTTCCATGCAACCCGAGGCCACCCTACATCGCGCAGCAAGACGCAGACGATATTTGACTTCGCACCCGGAACCGCATCTGTATAGAGAGGTGGGCCAAGACCGATTCCGCTTGTTCAGGGTGTGATATTCTCGTACATCAGTCTCAGTAGGATACACTGTCCAAAGAATGATGAAACCACTGCATATTTACGGCGGTTAAACTGAACTATTTGAGGACAAGAGTTCGCCGAAACTGGGTGCGATCGCCCGTCGTCTGAAAATGTGCAGCTGTGATCGTCCCGCGGGGCTTAAAGGAGTCGATTGTCCTGCTAATTTTGACTGTGCGATAGCATTTCGGTATGGGCCTGCCACTACAACGAACTCCTTGCGGCCGTCACAGTTAGAATGCACAAGAAAACGCAAAAGTCAAAACAATTCTTGTGTCCCAGTGTCAGGCATGCTCTAGAGCGTTACGTAGAGGTACAGAACTGAACAGGTCTGCGGCCAATTATATTCTAAGAAAAATAAAACAGGGAGGGAAACAGGCTGCCGTGTCAACACAATAAAGTGAACTCTTTGCCTTTTTTACCAAAGTCCATGTCGCTGAAAAGAAATAGAGCTTTACATGATAGTTCGACCGTCGTTGCCGACGATGTTCACCGTGTGCTCTCGGCAAGGTGAAGCGGTCACAGTGACATGTGCATGAATCAGTTTATAGTGATAGTAGACTTGCACAGCATCTACCGCGCCCCCTCCTCCTACCCCACCCGAACCCGGTGTCAAGACAGAGTCAAGAAGACCGGAGGCGAGGGAGGGCGCAGATGGATGGTACGGTCGAGCCAGCAGCTGGGCGCTCCACTCCACACCCCCTGGTCCACACAGTAAATTACCAGGTTTTTGACCAACTACAACGATGGGGGGCGGCAGAGGTCCCAGCGCGCATGACCTCTGCAGGCAACCCGGTCCGCCACCGAAATGTTGGTATTTGTTATGGTGCGCAAATCCGATAACGCCTGCCAGAATCCGATAAGGCCCTGTGTTGGTCCAACGCATCTACCACGTGACCCGTTTGGGGGGCACAGAGCTTTACACAAAAACTTTGATACAGGCGCTAGATTTGAACATCAAATAATTACGAATGCTGTATCGCAAAACGGTCACAGTCGTTGTGGGTGGCAGCTGGAAGTGTCCTACCACCTGAAAACGCGAAATTCCCCAAAACGGCAAAAGCGAAACCATCGCCGACACTATTAACTGAGTGGTCCGTCCGACTACTCTATAAGCATTGTCTTTGTCTGGCTAAAGATGCAGGGGAGGCGAACCTCTAAAGTACACAGAACAGCGAAACAGGGATTGGAGAAAGTCACTGGGTATTCCGTGCTTTTAAACAACACGAGGAAAGTTGGTGCTCGGCTGTTTAAAATGCGTTGGTAAACAGCAGAAGCGACGGAGTGACTTTCGTAACACCCTAGGAGGAACCAGCTGGGTATTAAGACAGCCAATGGTCAAGTAAAACACATAGAACTAAGATCAGTCTAACCCACCTAGACCGTAGCATTCACAGACCGGCATGTCCGATATTAGTGTCAAAGAGCCCGGCGAAGGTGGAGGGACCAGCTGAAGAGAATAAGAGAAAAGAATTGTGAAGACTCTAATTGGAGTGCAGAAGTCTATGTATCCAGACCAAAAAAACCTCAAAGGGCCAGCAAGGAGAGACATGGAGCCCTAAAAGTTTCATTATGGATAGGCTCGAGTTCTTAACGGTCGCCCTATATCTGACATCCTAGAATTCTCACAGACACACTTGAGGTAGTTCGCAATTTTTAACGGCGGGAACACTTCATGAGACGAAAGAGAGGAATATTGCTAAACTTGTTCGGCTGGCGATCCCGTCTACCATAACCTAGTGGACGCAGTATCAGTCTTTCGACCCCAACTGGCGAGGCGCGTCTTCCAGATATCTAAGTTCCTACATCCATAGTGTGTTTTAATAAATGCTTTCGTCTTTAATCCCATTTATATATATATCCATATATCCAAATACTCCGAAGAATCTCCCCTGTTTTGTTCACGCTGCCTCAGGAGAGGAGAAAGAACGGGCGGAAAATGCAAAAACACTTACAAGTTCTGTGGGGACCTCGCATAGTGCGACCACGGTGGCGTTTAGACAGGCCATTATGGTTGGGAGGTCGTAAAGCGAGAAACTGGAGGCACCCATGGCGAATGAACCGCAGTTAACGCCCCTAGACTCAAAAACTCCCACTGGCGGATGAAGTATATGTACAGCCAGAGCCCATGGCTCCTCCCCCTCCTCCTCCTCAGCAGTCTGCGCGTCCTCCTGCACATCGGTATCTTGACTGGCTTCGACGCCGTCGTCCCTCGATTCCTCGGAGCGGCTACCTTCGACAATCCCGCCGGCTGCCTGGAGCAACGAGTCGTCTGCGGATGGTTCATCGTTCTTGGGCCTCTTCTTGGCACTCGGCTGGCTGGATTTATCCCCGCCCAAAGGATGAGCCAAATGAACGTTGTAGGGGATGCAATCGAGTAGATGGGACGCAGGGTGACCGAGATGGGGTCTTCCGTGAGGACCAGAGCCGGGCAGGGAGGTGGGAGCATCAGCCAGCTCGGACAGGAGGTGGCCGAGGAAAGTCAGATCTCGGTGATCAGGCGCCCCGAAGTCCATGCGCACACGTGGAGGGCCGCTGACACCCACTGGACTGTAAACGAGAAGGCAAACGTATTGAGACCCATGTTTGGGCAGTATTTGCAAGGGGTGATTCTAGCCAACAGCTTTGCCTTTTCAATAAAGTGTTCCTTAAGCTGGCACAGGACAAATGGACACAGCAACATGAAGTCGCGAAAAGACAGTACAGCGGAAATTGCCCATCAGAAATGGGGTCATTATGAATCAGTTAACAGACAGGCAAACATTACTTTTGTGCCGCAGAGGGAATGAGGAGTAACTCGTAGTCGAAGGACTCTGCACTTAGATCCTAAAAAGCAAGAGTGGCAATATAGTGTGCTGGCACCGTTTCGCAGTGAGTCCTTAGACAAACGAACTTGCATGTTGTCGGGAAACATGAACAGGATAAAGATGGCGTGCATTTATGAGGGAGACGATGTTCGAACTTCTAAAGTACACGTTGCAACACAGTCGTCCTAGTCCCTTATGCTACCAGCACTATAAACTTTGTCGTCAACACAACCATCGTTTTGGTTAATGTTTTTAATAAAGAGCGAATCAGTTCCCGATCTTGAAGTAAAGGTTGAAGTTGAGGTACGAAAGAAGTTAATTTAATTGAAATTTTAGCGACGAGTTGTCTTGACCAAGTCAGGATTACAGCAAGTTACAGCACAACTTCTATCTCCGACACTCGTCTCAGTGACCCGAAGAAATGGAATGATTCTACTGGCAGAAAACTTAGACTTAACGCCAAATCGGTTCAAATGCTTCTACTAGGCACTAGAAGATAACATCAAAGACACTGCCAAAGGCAAAGTAGGTCAAATGGCAGAATGAAATCTCAAGGACATGAGGAAAGGGGGCACCATGGAGTGGATGATAGACTTGAAACAGACCGATCAAAAATTCAGCGAATTTTACGAACAGGTAGTGAGGTTTGGGGGGGAATTGCGTCCAATGAGGGGGCTAAATAAATGAGTTAATGATCTGGCTTAACTGCGAAAATGGAGAGCGAACAAGTTGTTCTGGGACAAATGAACCAGAAATAGCCATATATCTTGACTAGGAAATACTCGTAAGCGTGTCAACGGCCGCAGGGGTTGAATACAGGAACACCAAAGCCAGTATGCCGTTCTGTAACCAACCTGGACTGGGGACACCACTTTTACATGGCGCCGAATATTCCGGACCAGGGTCTATGAAGCGTGAGTTTATGATTAAATGCTAAAGTGCTGGCTCCGGTCAGGGGTTAAATTCAGGATCTGACTGGTTGACAACGACAAATAAAACAGAAATAGCCATTATAACCTTCCTCGTTCACAGTACTCCGCAAAGAACCTGTGTTGCTCGATCAACTGAAGCCCCAGGCTGTATTCAGATCAGTTGGAATAACATACAGTCGAGTCATTCATGAACCGAGGTTCCATTAAAACCTAGATTTAAGAAATGCTCACTCTTGTGGGCCAACCCCGCATGGAGCGTACTGTTTCCACGGTCATAGGGGGAAGATTCTGTTTCACATGGGCTTGCCGACCTCGTTGGTAAAGTTGAAGAACGAAATCTGGCTTTGTGATGGATATCTGTTCGGCCAATAACGTTATGCCGAGACCTAAGGACAAATTAGGGTAACAGGCATTGGCACAGGAGTCACGCAACCCGAAAGGAAATTTTATTGAGAAAAAGGAGCAAGTAGAGTGAAATACAGGATCTCAAAAGAACGATCTGTGAACTGGCGCTCTCACTTTAGATAATTTATATTCACGAAAATATTCGCAACAATCCAGGACAGAAACACAGGAGCATTAAACGTGTTTCAGCTCCAAACACGAGACCGTCGAAAACCGTACTCCAATATACAGATAATATCCAAAAGAATAAATACCTACAGGGAATCTTTACGTCATAGAGAGGGGCTAGTGCATAGTAAATTGTCCTATCCAGAAGCCTCCCGAAAAAGCCGACTTTTAGAGAGTGCCTGGATAAGATTTACATTCCATCGTCGGTGAAATATCCGTATCCAACAGTTAGACGGGCAAATGACTTTTACTTTTCGCTCACTGATTTTCTAATAATGAGTGACTTTGGTTCCGTTCATCTTGTCCCCTTTTGAGTCCTGTGAAGTCAGGAATTGTAGTCTATGCTTTGCTGGACAGGAGGTTCAGAAGAAAAAAATACGAAATGAGACTAAAACGTCCCAAACTAACTTACCCTGTGTCCAACCCATTGTGTTTATTAACAAAGGGCAGTTAGGCAATTCAAGTCGTAGATAGGCGTCGAATACATATCGCAGGCACTGCACGTAGAAACTTGGATTGGCTGCAGGCGTCAGATCACCGAAGAAGCACTGTCTTAAGAGAAGAATAAGAAAATTACTTTGAAAAAAATATGCCAAAAACGGGTTTAGAAGGGTTAACGTGTATGGAAGAAAATGTCACACCCTCCGAGTATTACTTCACGACGGGACTAGAATTTGCTTCAAGGAGGTATTTTCAGACCCAAAAAGGTGGTTTGGTCCTGGCCGAGTTTTCAAGAATGACGCTGATTTTGCAAGATGTTCTGATTTTTAAGTACACAAAAAGATAGAATCTAAAAGGTGGGGTCAGCATGTTGACCTATCTCCGGTCTGATAACCCGTTTACGGCGTCAAATAGTAGAATGACCTTCAGTAAAATAAGTGGCTTCCGTACTTTAAGGCATAAGCCGTCACAGGGTACACGTTCGCAATGCTATCCCTTAGGGTTTATTACAGACCCAGGAAAAGCAACAGATTAATAAGACATTATGGCATGACAAATATTGCTCACCATCCCGAAATGGCTTCACACAGCGCTTATGTCGCAAGGAGTATGGCTGCACATAACAGCTCAGTGAAAATGACAATCCCACCATCGCTAACGATGATGTCCATCGAGAGCCCCATGATGTCATGGGCGCAGGACGGTGGGCTTGGTGGAAATACGACTGTCCGAGGCATACTACACCGGATATCCAGATAGAATTTGACTCATTATGAAGCGTCTGTTCTAACATTTGCCAACCGCCCCCCGCCCCCCGGTGGGTTGCATCAAGAATGTATACTGGATTCCTTCGGTAAACAGAGGGAACATCAATGCCCTCTAAATCATGCGCCTTTATAAGACCGAATTCACAAGCGCTGGCCATGGGGAACCGTTCTACCCCCTACAAATCAGTACTGTTTATTTTTCGGGAGAAAGGCACAATACCATTGTTTGTCAGCCTCCTGCAGACAATGCGGAGCCATGGACCTTTATTGGCACATGGAAACCTGTCTTCCCCATTACTTGCATATGGGTAAAAGGCATAATTACCGATAAGTGATTGCGACTTGTACATGGATATTCAACGAACAAGAGGGCTAAAAAAGGTTTCGTGACCATCTATAAAGATTAATATCTGAAGTGGTGCCCAGTAATCCCCATTACAGTCGTAAGGCCAGAGTGAAGAACTGGCTGTTAGCGTTTATGCGTCTCGCAGTCGATGAGTTGGCTTGCTAATTCATTGATGCCGACAAGGGCATAAGTTACCGATCACTTTTACGAATGGAAATGGGTAGTTTAATTATATTTTGAACTCAGTGACCAGAATGACCTGAGTTATGACAACCAGGTCGAATTTAAACGTCACAAGTCCGGCTTTAAGACTAAGTCATAACTATGCAGCCTGGCAGCGAACAAAAGCATAAGCAGGGCGATGGAATAAATGAAGTGTCACCTGCAGCCAGTCCCCCTGCCATGAAATTTAGGGCAAAGTGCGCCTCACCGGATGATGAGAAGCCGTTCCAGTCATAAGATGCTTGTGATTTTATGTATATCGGACCACTTTCACATAAGGTTTAGCGAGTTTCCTTAATTCTTACCCTCAGAGTTTGCGGTCGGATTCAACGATGCATGACACAAAAGTTTAGAAATAGTAAAATAAGGCCAAAAACCACAAGATACTTAAATCTTCTGTATTCGGTCTCCATCGTCAGAGACGAGAATCGGTCGAACCCTCCAAATCCGCTATGATAGATCGTCAGGCGTGAACAAATACAATTCGCGGCATCACAGAGGCCAGTTGATCAGAAATGGTCACGGCCATAGGAAATACATGGAGTTACGATGAAACCTAGGTATGAGGCATGTTAAACCACTTCAGTCCGGAAGTATATAACATGCGAGTCCCTTAAAGAGGTCGCTCCGCCATTTAGAAGGGGGCACCTAGATTGCAGATGTGCTGAGTAATCTTACGATGGCAAATTTTGTACGCTTCTCTCTGCTAATACCAATTATCGCAAAATACGAAACAGAGGAAATAAGATAATTGTAAGACAAAGATGTCTTACCTCACTCTTCGTATGGCCGTCCCAAGAGGATGCGTAAATGGGGGACCAAGTAATGGTTTATTTATCAGAGTAAGACTCATCATTCCGGAAGGCGTAAATTCAGTCTGACCAACATCACAGTCTAAAACAGCGACTGTCTCCTTTTTCGTCGACGTCACCAAACGGTTGACTAAGTAACGCATGTATGTTGATTTCCCGACATTTTTGGGACCACACAACAGTATTTTTAGGGGTTTCGCATCTAAAAGAATAAATTGGTCAAGTATTTCTCCCAACCATTTGTTACTGCTCGAAAAACAACTTTCGACGTTGATAGTTTCATCTCTTCAGATTCCCTAAATCCATAAAAGGATCCAGTGTCAGGTGAAGAAGCTGACTCTAGAGCAAATCCAGCGCCGGAGATAGCGACAGACTTTGAAAATCTCAAGATGGAGTCGATTGAAAAAATTTCTTTGAAACGCCTGACTTCTTCAATCGAATCGCAGACGCGCGACTTTAGGGGCGCAAGTATGAAGACCGAAGCCAGTGGTGATATTTTATCGGTCGGATCTTTCAGGGCCTCGATTATCAGAGATAGAGAGCTTTCCGAATTTGCGCCAAAGGCTTTGGAAAGTCGGGACTCCAGCTCGTCAAGTGGAAAGTGACTAAGACTTTCTGACCCCAAGGAAACTGAAAGGTCCAGTGGTGTATGTGTAGATGGGGAAAAGACTTCGAAACTTCGAAGCTCGTCGGGATGCAGTCCGGCGCCGAACATGAGGGCGCCATCTCCCAGGACATATGTAACCGAAACGCGCCCATAAATAAGCCATCTCGAACCAGGCTCCAAAAGGCACAACCATGAACGATTTTCGCGAAAAGTAGTTTCAATAAAACAGGATCCAAAAGCAAACGAAACATTAACACTGGACATTATCGCCTAGATGGTGCAGTTGGAGAATCCCGTTGAGGGCAAACCTGCAAAATCACAAGAAAACCGTAAGCAGATTCAAATGCGCAAGAACGTTTGTATTTCCAATGTGGCAATCTAATGTTTGGTATTGATGTAGTCACCGTATACCCTGAAAGCATCTTAATGATCAAGAGTCGACTCTTGTCAGCAATCCCCACGGGCAAATCCCGTCCTGCAGCCCCTCGGTTTGACTGGAGTCGGTGCTGTCGGAGGTCAATCAGATTATTAGCCGCACGTAAACCCGAAAATCTGAGTTGTCAGCGCAGAACTAGACAAAAGATTTTACAACGGTACCTGGGCCTATGCTCTTATAAGAGCATTAGCCCAGGTACCGCTGTTGTCGGCGTCAGAATTTTCTTATTATAGTAAGAAAATACTGATGCCGATAACAACCATATTCAGAAAAAAGTTGATAACTTGGGTGGACAACATATAGGTGGGAAATCTGTGGACGATTGCGTGCGATGGATAAGTTTGTGACCGCGAAAAGCTACATACAAAACGGTCTAGATAGTCACATGTCAATGGACCAGAAAACCACATTAGCCTGACCAACCAAACCACCAGGCAACACATGCATTCGAAAAATTCAAACACGGTGCAGGGAAATTTGGCACAGAAAAACCTGATTAAACAGACTAAGCAAAAAGAAAGTGGTAATGAGCCGTGAAGTTTCTTTTGCCCTTTATTTTCAATTTATTGGTTCTCTTAGGTGTTTTTAGTCTTGCGTTCCTCCCGGAGTAAATGTACTGGCTGACATGGCAGGACAGTATAGTGTCAAGTCAATAAAAGCTCATCATGGATAGTTTTCCCATGTCTTTTCTTAAATAGCCCAAAGTTTTTTTCCAAGGCAGTCGAGTTCGGCAGCCCCTCTCATCCTTAAACCAACAGATGGTTATCCCGATAATGTGTAGTTAGTTCCGTTTAAAAATGTCCTCAAAATGACGGGCTCCGTCTCTCCCTCTGGCTATTTTAAACGTCGCTATCACATCTCCTCTCTAATTTCTATAAAAGAACGAAAAGTTTCTAGGTCCTTATAGCCAGCTCTCTTTGGACAAGCGTATAAATCGGCCGAGTAATCGGGTTGCTCCTACTTGTACGCTCTCTAATGCAATTAACGTTGTTCGCATCCATGAGCTCCAAACACAAGCGAAATATTCTAACATCGGCCAAAAATAGCTTTTCGCTCTCAACCGAAAAGCCTTCTGTCAAAACCGAGGAAAGATCTTATGATCGCGCCTATAACGCCCGACTCAGCTGGGCGATAGCTTGAGAGTGGGCGCCATTCAATTCAGTTCAACTTATTTGAGGGAATTTCAAGTCCTAACCTTAGAACTCCTTAATTCATCTCGACTCAACTGGGAGAAACTAGCCGGCACCGGTGGGATTCCAACCTGCGTCAGGAAATCCACGGTTTGTACACAACCAACGCTCCAAAAACCTGTGCTTCGACGCCCCACTGGGAGCCGCCGGTTTATCTAAATTTGAGTTAAATTACCATCCGGCCAAGTTTAACGCATGTAATTCACTGATTCTGAATCAGTGAGCTGACTGCCCAAACAGGATCTATTAAGCAATTAGTATAGAATAGACTAGTTGATTAATAGGCTTAAATTTAACAGGTGATTTGTCAGATCTTGTAGATTTCTGTTTTTTTAATTCCCTAAGAAATTAAAAACAAGAATTTCTACATTGAAGTATCCACCAGAGAGCAGATGGAGAGTGCTGAGGGAACCACTGATGAGCCGAACCCCTCGTAGCTGTGACATGCAGCGGTAGAGTATCGGTGAAACACGCTTGTATGGGCCTTTGGCTAGTACCGCTGTTGTTATTATGTTATCTTACTGTCCTAAAAAGATCTTGAAGAATATATTTTCTCCCACTTCTGAAAAATTTGACATCCTAAGGGAAATTCGAAATCGCACTAGCAATGGCAAACCTTCGATACAGCCATCGCTCTAACTACATGAGTTATGAGGCCCCCTTCTGTTACAAACAACTATAATAGGTAAAAAAATGGAGAAGCAGCAACAAACAAATCGAAATCGTACAGAGAGACGAAGCATTTCAAGTGTCAGCAGCACTGACAAACACGTCAGTTCGATTGCGATTGCTGACTGTGCATCGTGCGCCCCACAGCAGTGTGAGATCAGTGATGGCGACCCGCACATGAGACGGTTTAAAGTGATAATCGATTTGCGATTCATCTACCTTACTACCTACTCCCATAGTTTTACGCAGTATCGGGATAGAATTAAGAAGACTGGTGGGAGGGGGGCCGATGACGCAAATCGGTGGCACGGCACAAGTCTGCACCAAGTCGTGCCACCACACCCAATGGACCATACACTGAATAGGATTTCGCACCTCAACACGATAAAGGGCGTCGCTGATCAAAACCGACACGGCGTGCGCCTAAAACTAAGCCTGCTGCTAGCCAGGACAGTATCCTTAGATGTACAAAATAATACAGTTTTTTACATTATCATTCCCAATGTTGGCGTTGGTTATGCGTACGCATGCCCTCAACCTGTTGATAGTACTTGGCATCGAATTGATAATAGTTATTGAGGCAGTGCTCAAAGCATTTCTTTGGCGTGTTACATTAAAATGTCGATGAGGTTTTCTTGCGGACATTTGGCTACGCTCACAAATTCCAGGCATTACGGCATTGAGGAAAAGAAGGCAACCGTATCGACTGAAAGACTGCTTTTAGTCGAACCTATTTGAAGACCTCGGGTCTTTTGAAGGAATGTCTGAGCGTATTCGATGCTGTATTGTGATTTGTCAGTGAGGCTCTTCGGTGGCTTTTGTAATCCTTTGGATCGGTCGCAAGTGGGCGATCCAATGAGTAGCACTGCGACCTTCAATGATATGTCTGTTCTGTGCATCTTCAGAATGCAATATATATGTAATGCACTGGAGCGGGGACGCTGGAGCGACCGCCAAACCAATGTGATATGAGTGTCACCGAGAATCATGAATCTAAAGATTTCGGTTCTCGCCGGTTTTAATCGAACAAGCACATCCAGCTCGGCAACCATTCTGCTCGCTAGCCCTCACATTTGAACGTTGGTTTGTTGTCCTAAGAATCCAAACCAGAAAGGCCGGTTAGGAGGACGACTTCTTCCGATACCACCTTGGTGGTCAGCGCCTCTCAAGAGTCCAGAAACAGAAGTTTCTTGGTGTTCCGATTGTAACAGCCGACGGAGTGGACGGGTTATTTGAGTGAACTGAGGACACAGAGGCGCGGACTGAGGATAGGGATGGTGTGATGGAGTGCCAGTGAAGACGTTGGTGCCCCTTTCCATTCTCAATCGCTGACCCCTGTCGCTGCAGTTATCGTTGATCGATTCGTCTTATATTATCTCTCACTCAGTGTCAGCTTCTTCAGGTACCGACCCCGTAGTTGTCTCCAGCGCTGCACTTCCGACCGGCGGTCTAGTAGGCACAAATAAACACCCTCAATTCAGAGGAGACTGTAATGCGTGTATGGCCCTTTACTATTTCATTTGCGTCCTTATTACCCGTTCACACAATTCATACCTTAAAATATCCTTTTCATGTCTACTCTCCGTCCTCTTATTATCTCGACGTGTGTGTTCGACCTGTCACTAACCAAACCTGTTTAGCGTTATTGCAAACGCGGAATCGACAACAGGCACCACGTATCCATGTGCGTGAAACCCTCAACGTCTTCGGCCGCGATACAATAACCTCATCAATTAAATAATCATCATAATATCTAAAAACAGTTAAATGCGCGACGCAAGTGCTGTATGCACTGCAACAGAAATTTGCGCGGATCAATAAGGAACTTTTCGGAAAAACCTACGGGCCATTCTTCCGGTCTTGCTTGGTTTATTCTGTCCAAGCTTGGACTCCGTGTTTTAAGAAGTATTATTAATATCTAGAACAAGTGCAAGGGAGAGCTACGGAGATAGTGAATAATTTTGGTCAGCTGGCTTCCGTGGCCAGACTGGTTAAATTTAATCTGTTTTCTCTCAATTACGGGTGATTGCGCGGTGACTTCACTCAAACCATACCGGATTTTCATAGGCTCTGAATGTGGCCAATAATTCCATGGCTTCCCCGAATTGGCTGGGGCAGACCGTCTGCGTGGCCACTTCTATAAACTAAGGCGAGAATTCGCCCATACGGACGTCCCACGGAACGCATTCTTGCGGAGGATCTTCGGAGCATGTAGCAGATTTCCTGACACGGTGGTGCTTTTGGAAACTGTTGAGTCATTTTGTTGGGAGTGCCTACACTCCCAAAAACAAGAGCCAGCCAATCACGGGAGGCCGCGTGCGTTTTCTCTACTGCGCTGTCAATTTCAAAGATAAGTGAAGCTCTGCATTTATCTGGATATTCTTAAGTAATTAATGCCTGTTTTTAACTTGAGTCCGTTTTAAAAGGCGCCTTTCTATATAAGGTAAAAGTTTTTTCCCAGTTTGTTTGACAGTCTGGCAAAATAGTCGTATTTTGTAAAAATCCATTGTAGTGAATCCTTTCCCTACTACCGATTTCTAGTTTTCGTGGTAAAAAAAAAAACAGTAATACGTGCTACTCAGTGCGCGTTTCCGTTTTGATCCCTCTTCTGTAACGAAAAA